TTATACAAATAACAAATACAAATGGCTAACAATAAATGAGATACAAGAAAGAATAAAAAGAATAACAAGTGAATGGAAAGAAGGAGAATACGAAGAAATACTTAAAAAATATGAAGGTAAGAAGAAAAAATGGTATGATATTCTTCAAGAAGTATATTCAATTAAAAAGAAAAAGATAATTGAAAAGACGAAAGAAGAGTTTAAAGAAAAAACAAAAGATTTGGAGGAAAAAGACATTAAGGCTATAGAAGCAGAAATTAAAAACAAAAACCCAATTAAAGATGAATGATAGATGTAAAATAGCAAGAATAATAAATGAAACAGAAAGTATAAAGAAAGTACAAGAAGAAACAAAAAATAAAGAAGAAAAGATAGAAGAAGAAAAAGAAAAAGAAGAAATACTTGCACTGAAAAATCAAATTACTGAATTAAAAGAAAAAGTTAAAGAATTAAGTATGAAAAGAATGGAAGAAGAACAAGCTATCTCAGAAGAAATGATGAGAAAAGCAAAAGAAATAGTTAGAAAAAAATTTGAAGAAGAAATTACAGAAATGAAAACACAAATTAAAAAGATTCAAACGAATTATGAAGAAATGAAGAAAGAAAATGAAAAATTAGAAGAAAGAAATTTAAAACTACAAGGAAAAATAAATGAGATAGAAGGAAGAAAAATCACAGAAGTAAATAATAAAGAAGAAAAAATCCGAAGTATTCAAGCTAATAAAAAGAAGATGGAAAAAGAAAATGAAGGAATGAAAGAAGAAATTGAAAAGTTGAAAAAGAGAAACAAAATGCTAGAACAAAATACAAACACATTAGAGAAGAAGATTGAAATGATAGAAAAAAACACTGAAGAATTAAAGAAAGAAATAAGAGATAAAGAAAAACAAATCTCTGAATATCAAGAAATTGCAATTAAAAACAAGAAATTGCAGAAATAACAAGAGAAGAATTAGACAACACACAAAAAGAAAATGAAGCACAAAAACAAATAATATCAAAACAACAAGATGATATTGAAAATTTTATTTCACAGAAGGAACTAGAGAAGAAGAAAACGATGACACTTGTGATAAATACACAACCAGTACTGAGGAAAACATCATCAGGAACAATGGAGATGAACGAAACTACTCCTATGAAAAAGACAATAGTGGAGATAGAAGAGAAAAGCAAAGCACTGATTGTCAAAAAACAAGAGATGATAGTCAGACAAGAAATACAACAGAACAAAGAAATAGAATTCTAATTGAAGTGTTGTATTGTTTTGCAATTAATTGGTTAAACAAGAAATTATATAAGAAATTAAGATGGGAACAAATAGAGAATATAATAAAAGTGATAAACATCAATGTCAATAATGAAAAAGAATATATTAAATATATTAAAATGTCACATAAAATAAAAGAAAATACTAAACAATACATTAGAGTGAAAGTAAATGATATAATAGAAGGAAGAGTAGAGTGTAATTCAATAATAAAAAACATCATATTAAAGAATAACTCTAATAAAATTGATGAAGAATATCTTAACACTCTCATCAATAAAATAAAAGAAATGAAAATAGAAAAATGTTCAAACATTAATTACTACTTTCAAAGAAAAGAAGCTGACCGATTAATAATGGAAATTAATAATAGATGGATATTGTCAGGAAGCAGAATGCAGGATCTGCAAGATGATATGAAGAGGATTTCAATGATTATGCACCTCTATCTCCAAAATAAAATAATACGAGATAAATTTGATGAAATAAAAGAAATCCTAAAGAAAATTAATAGACTAGAAGATTTAGTCAAGGGAAGGAAATGGTACAGAATAAAGTGCATCATGAAATTAAAAGAAAATGATGAAGAAGGAATAAAAGTTAAAACACTAGAAAGAATAAAATACCTAAAATATATGATGACAATGATAAAAGAATTAATTAAATTTAATAAAGATGAAATAGTCAGAATCAATACAAATAAAATCATGTTTGATTCTAACAAGAAAATTAGAATAAGGAAGAAAGACCCAAAAAACGAAATATACCCAAATAACGATATTACTTTAGAATATTGGAAATCGTTATATGAAACACAGGTGATATTAAATAAAGATAATTGGAAAATAAAACAAATCACCTCATGGAATGAAAGATATAGAAACTATGATAGTGTCATAATAACAATAAATGAATTAAATTTAAGTATAATGAGAATAAGTAACTGGAAAGCACCAGGAATAGACACTATATATGGGTATTATTGGAAAAGGATGTCATCATCAAGAGAAATCATTCTCAATATCTTTAACGAATGGTTGAACTTCCCTGAAAACATCCCATTAGACATGGTAAGTGGAAGAACTTTATTAATCCACAAAGGAGGTGATAGGAATGATGTCATTAATTATCGTCCTATCAGTTGTACAAATGTAATTATGAAAGTATTTACATCAATATTAAAAGAAAAGATTCACAGAAGAATTAACATGAATAATGAATCATTGAAAATTAGTAATAAACAATTGAGATGTAAATTACAATCTTTAGCTGCTAAAGAAGGAATAATTAATAGTTATATGTTAAAGCAGCAGAAAGAAGAGAAATACCCAAAATATGTGGAGTCATATTATGACATTAAGAAAGCATATGACACAGTAAACCACGAATGGGTTATTGAATCATTAAAATATTTTAATGTAGAGGGTGTCATCATTAACATTATTGAAAGTATGATGACTAGATGGAAGATATTCATCGGTTATAAATTTAATGAATATCTATGATGTATTAAATTAAATAGATGAATTTTACAAGGTGATTCCTTATCCCCTCTACTCTTCATCATTCAGATGAATGTAATTTCTCAAATCATCGAAGAGAAATTCCCAAAAACAAATCACACATTATATATTGATGAAATGAGAATAATGACAGAAAATAGTGAAGAAATGGGAATAATCCACAATGAAATTAAAGAAATAATAAGTTACATATTGAAATGAATGAGAAAAAATCAGGAATGGTATTAAAAAACATTAAAGAAATACCAAATGGAATGCAAAACATCCCCCTAATTGAAGGTGAGGACTTGTATAAATATTTAGGAATATGGCAGTCCGACGAAATTGATGACACCTTCAATTGTAAATCCATCAAAGAAAAAATGAATCAGAAGATGGAAGAAATAAACACTGATGAAAGTAGTAATAGAAAATATATTACTAGAATAAACACGGAAGTAATCCCTATCTTCAGATATTCAGCATCAGTTGTAAATTTGAAAATCACTGACCTAGACAAAATTGATTTGGAGATAAGAAAATAAATAAGAAAGGCAAAATACAATGGTGAAACTCCAAAGATAGGTTATATGTCCCTCAAGAAGAAATGGGTGAAGGATTAAATAATATAAATTATGAATATGTTATTGAATTAGTAAGAACAGTGATGTACTACTGTACCAGAGAAAGTGAAATATGAAATAACATATTAGAAAGATGGTACAGTAAGAAGGGAATATGGAATAGAATTAAAAACACTAATTCATAAAATAAATGAAACAAAAATAGAAGAAATAATAAATGAAGGGATAGAAAAGAAAAAAGAAAAAGAAGTAGTAGTAGAAATAAAAAAATTATTGACAAATACATCAAAAAATGGAAGTGTCATCAAACAAGTGGACACTTTAGAAGATGGTTCGAGTCAAAAGGAGTAGATAAAACTACTACAGTGAAAGCATGGAATTCCATCAATATTAAGAAGAATGCATTCCTCCAATTAACTAAAATGCAGGATGGAGCAATATTTTGTGGGTATAAAAAAGCAAAAATAATGAAAAATGAAAGATTAAAATACTCAACACTTTGTAAAGACAAGATAGCTACAGTAGAACACATTCTACTATCTTGTATTGGTAATAATAAATCACAAATGGAAAAACATGACCATATAGGCATAATCATATTGATTAATAAGAAAATATACAGGAAATAAACAATATAAAAAACCTCCATATGAAACAATGTTCCAATATAAAGATATCACTATGATATTGAACAAATATATTGTGCAAAAAGTGAATGATAATATAATAAAATACCAAACATATATGTATTAGATAAAAAGAATAAAACTGGTCTATTATTTGATATGACAATTGTGGCTGATCACAATATTAATGGAGCCTATTGGAAAAAAAGGAATATGTATAAGGAATTAAAGAATAGGCTAATGAAAATAGAAAAATTAAAAGATGTCAAAATAATTCCAGTAGTAATATCAATAAATGGATTAATGAATAATTCAAGTAATAAATTAATTAAAGAAATAAAAATTGAAATTGACATTGTTAAAGAAGTAAAAAACCTTGTAATAAAAAACATGATGGATGTCATGGAATACTGCGGAGATCACAACCAAACATACTCCGTAGAGCTGCTAGAAGAAGATGAAGACGAAGGGACGGGATTAGTCTCCCCTGAGCCAGGAAGAATAGAAGCTAGTTCTATTAATACTTAATTAATTGCTTTTTATTTATTTCAAATGAATATTACTAAACTGATTTTTTGTATTTTTTAATGAATAAAAAAAATATTGATACATTTAATTCGCATACTTTTGAATATCATTTTTAATGTTATTTATTAATTTTATATTCTTTTTATTTTATCTTTTATTCAGTCTTTCATAAAAGATATTCAATAATATAATATCAATTACGTTATTAAATCAAAAGATATTTATATTTATAACATAAATAAAATTAAAAAAAAAAAAAAGAAAATATCATCAAACAAACAAAAAATACCAAAAGTGTCAATAAAATAAATATAACAGTGTCTCAAAACTTTTTTCATTGAATCTAGAGAAGTATTATTTCTTTTCTATATTTAAAAAAAATAAAACAATTTCTTTTCTTTAAAAATCTTTTTATAAAAGAAGAGAATTTAAACAAAAAATCACCTTTTATTTAACACAAAATAATCAATTCTACATTTTTTGTTTTTTCTCATTCAAATTTGTATCCACAAGAAGTACAAAAACGTGTACCTTCTTCAACTTCAGCTTCACAATCAGGACATTTTTTAGTTTTTCCAGGTTGTCCAACAACAGATTTTTTTGTATCAGAATATTTTCCATATAGGGTTAAACTTTCTTCTTCTCTTTTTTGTTTATAATATTTATTAAAACAAATGTTATGCCAATCTTTTCCATCAGCTTGTTTTCTTTCTGCAAAATACACTGTTTTACCTTTAATTAGTTAATATTTTTATTTCTTAATTAGTCAATATTAAAATTAATATAAAAATAAATTAACAAACCACACAACGCACACTTCCAAGACATGATTTTTTAGATATTTAAAGTTTCAAGTTGGCGATGTCGTATAAATAGATATCATTTAGATATTTATAGAATAAATTATAATATTCTTTTAATTCTTCTTTAGATTAATTTAAAAATACTATGGCTATCGACGTGGATCCACCATTTCGTTTCTAAGGTTTGGAGGTAATTGTTAAACAAATAAAATGACTATTCCATTTACTATTTTTTAAGGCTTTCTGTTTCTAAACTATTAGGGATTTTTCGTATGATTCTTTTTCCAAGAATAATCCTTGTAAATCAGTTCTTCATGACCAATTATTATCGCTTTTTGGTGAGTTAAACAAAAAGAGTCTCATCAACAAGAGACAACTTTCAATCTCTCACACAAAACGAAAAGGTACAAACATATAAGAATCAAAACAAAAAAAACAGTTATTCATGAGCACATCTCACTGGTTTTCTTTTCTAAATAAACGTGAAGATATACTAAAAGAGGAAGAAGGTATAAACCCTTTTGTTTATGATGAAAAATTAGGAAAATGGATTAAAAATACTAAAACTCAATACTCGAACTCTTGTCCACCTGAATTTGATACTCAGATGCCACCATCACTTCCATTAAATTTTCATTACCACAAAATGGTTCCCAATGTCAGAAGGGATCGTTATATAGATCCTTTCACATATCAAATTCACCATTGTATTCCTCCTCTTGTATTTCCTAATTAAATAACAATAATTGAATTATTTTCAAGAATCACAAAAATACTTAATATAGCTTGTTAGGGAGTAAATACCAAAGGAATAAAACAGTGAGAAAATTGGAAAAAAAGAACAAAAACCAAATTGGGTAAACATAACTAGTAAATTCAATCCAAATGGAGGATCTTCCTGATATTGAATACAAACACTTTCCAATAATTAATCTAAATGACTTTTATTCATCCAGTGGTTCTGGAGAAGAACAAACAAGTAGTACCGAGGAATTAGATGATGATGAAATTGATTTAGAAGAAATGAATAGGACTTTTAGTCGATTGTCACTTCAAGGCACAACAGAATTTAATAATGAAATAGACAAACAACCCTCCTTATTAAAGATAAAAAAAATGTCATCAGCCCTCCAAATAGGTAATGAAATCATTGAGTCACAACAAAAACAAATTGAAACTACACCCAATTCAACAATAGAAAAAAGTTATGAAAAAGTTGAAGATGTTAATTCACAAATAAATATAATTAATGAAGAAGGTATAAAAGAAGAAAAAGAAAATGATGAATGTTTAAATAACGTTCGTTATTCATTTAACAGTTTTGGAAGTGTTGCTACTATTGAATCAAATGAAAATGTAGATAATATCATTGATATTATTGATACTGCAAATGAACCTAAATTTTCAATGGATGATTTTGTAAAAAATCCACTCTCTACAGAAGATATAGTTTCTGAACTAAGTCAGTGGCATGGAGAAGAAGATCATTTTTATTCAACAATATCAGATTTAAATAGTATATATTTTAGTTCATTTGTTGTACACTATTTAGGTGCCTTAAAACCATTGTTAGATTTTACTCCACGTACTACTATAAGTAATTCTATTAAAAATTCTTTACAAAGAATTTCTGCTAGAATTACATCTTCTCCACGTTCTAATTCCCCTCCATCATCAGAACCTACAGAAGAATATTGTATTAGACTATTACAAAATATCAAAGATATCCAACAACAAGAAATTCTTGATAATTTAATTTCACTTAATAAAGGAAAAGAATTACTTGACTTTGCTTCTAATAATCAAATGAAAGAAATTCCTTCATCTCCATCTGACTGTGTATTAATGTTATTGTTTGTTATTAACGAATATAATATGGGTTTTTTTACTCCAACATTACCAAGTAAACCTGACTATAATACACTTCAAATGAATGATTTACGTGTAATGATTCATTCATTATCAAAGAAACAAAAAATTATCATTGAAGGAATATTAGATTTAACAAATGTTCCATACATTCAAATTCTCGCTCTTTTTGGTTTGTTTAATTCTGGACAAAGTGCAATGGAACGAACAAATGCCATTCCTCAAGCATACTGTATGTATGAAGTGTTAATGAATAGAAGAATTTATTTGATGGAAGGTGTTGTTAATGGCATTTCTATTGCAAATAAAGAAATAAATTTATGTACGTTACAAGCATTAATTAATAAAATGTCTGTTCTTGACGATAAAATGTTGACTATTATCTGTCAAGTTCATTCATTATTTTGTGACTCAGAAGAATTTATTGAAAAACTTCGAACACGTTGTTTTTATCATTCTATTGAAATATACAGAAGTGTGTTTAAAGATATTGATAAAGAAATAGACACTCCTTTACCAATTACAGTTGAGTCATTATGTAATATACTTCTTCCTTATCTTGATAGTCCAAAAATATTAGCTCAAGCAATTACAACAGTATTTAGTAATGCTCTTTGTTTAATTAATCCAATTGATTTTGTTGTAGAAGAAAGTAAAGGAACAATGTTCTATATTCAAACAGTTGATTTATTTCAACAAACATTATGTCATATTTTACAAACCAAACCTTCTTCTATTAAACAAGTTATTGCCTTAGGAAAAGAACTAAAAGACATTAATAATTTTGAAGGAGCTGGTGCAGTTGGTCTAGCAATCTCTTGCAGATGTAGTGATGTAGAACTTAAAAAATTAAAATCAAAATACAAACATATTATTACATCATTAGCCACTATGTTTAAGGCTCGAACAAATATTTATACTAAAATACTTAATGCTGCTTCATTTCCTAAAATTCCTGTTTATGCTTTCTCTAAAAATGTTGTAGAAATGTCAAAAGTAAAACCAACTTTTTGTGAATTTTATCCAGACTATATTGATTTTGGTGGTAAATGTTTACCAATAGGAAATATCTGTTATTTGTATAAGTGTTGTCAAATGAACCCTTATCAAATTAAACTTAACGATGATATTTTACAAAATATAGTTGATAAATGGCTTGGTTTTCATTAAATTATTTATGAATGACAACTATCCATTTTCTTACCATCAACATTATTTATATCTTATTATAATTCACTTTTTTTGAGGATTTTCATTAAGTCAATTCAATAATAACAACTCTTATCACAAATTTTCTAATTAAAAAATTATTTTTGTATTATTTTAACTTCTAAAAATCAATGACTTAAAAATAATAGAAAAATTCACCAAAAAGAACTTTAAAATTTACTATGTTATTCGTGTTATTTATCTTTTCACTCTGTTCTGCTGCAAATGTTAATGACTTAACAAAAAATTCAAATGAAGCTAAGGACAAGATTAGTGCTATGTCTCTCTTTTTTAAAGCTAAAGTCACACAATCCGTCAATGATATTAAACAAGCCATTAAGAATGATAAAATTGCTTACAAAATGACCGTCAAATCAATTAAACATGACACAAGTTTAGCATTAAAAGAATTTATTGAAGCTAAAAAGGCTAACAAAAATGCAACTGATCTTGTTGATATTTCCACAAAAACAAGAAATGCAGAAAAAGAAGTTATTGAACAAATGACTAAATTACATAACACTTTTGTCCAAACCCTTACTAACACTAGTGCTGGTGTTAAAAAAACTGGTAAAGCAAATAAAATTGAAGCTGAAGTCTCTTTGGTTGGTGTAAAAACAATTGGTGAAAATCTTGCAAAACAACTTAATGCTGCAAACACTACTGACGCTCAACTCCAATTAGTTTTTACAACTGCTAGCTCTGGTTTAAAAAATTTAACTTCACATATGGTCAATGCTACAAAGGGACAATTAAAGGCTATTAAGACTGCCGTTAATTTTGCTCGTCTTGGAGAAGTTAAAATGTTAGAATCATACAACAACCTATATGTAATATATAAATCATCTCTATCTCAAAGTCTTTTTGTTAACCAAACTCAACCAACAACACCATCAGAAAAAGCTGAAGCAAACAAAAAAGCTAAAGCTGCTTTAAAGAAGGATATTTCTGATCTTAAGAAAATAAGAAGGGTTGTCAGTAAAGATCTTGTTAATAAAAACACTACTAAGAAAAATACTAAGAACATTGAAAAAAAGAATAACCTTAAAAAAGCTTCTTTAACACCAAAGGCTAAAAAATGTGTTTCTGCCTTAAAGAAATAACTCATTTACTTTTAATTTTTTCTTATTTTATTATTTTCAAACTAGTAAACAATAATTATAAGAAAAAGTAATATTATTATAGTTAAACTAATTCTTCTTCATTACCACGTAATTCATTGTAACCATTTTTATTCACTCTCCAATGGATTGACATAACACTTTTTCTATAATTACGTTTAGACTCACTTTCAGGAAGATTTTTAGAGTCATCTAATAATCTCTTTTTAATTAATAAAACACCTTTTTTATAAGATTCGTTTTCTGACGTATAAATAATTTCATCAATTCCAATACCATCAACACAAGAAAAGATATAGTTTAAGAGACCAACAACAAAATTAAAGACTTTTCTATAATCAATCCCAATGAATAATGCACTTAATACCATAATACAAAATATACACATTGGGAATGTGTCATTAAAACTATTTCTACCAAAGAATGGAACTTTTTCCATTCCTTTATTGACTATTTGGAATGCAGTTTGTGTTTGAATATTTGAATATTGATTAGATGTAAAATTAATCATATGGATAAAATTCATTGCAAGTGCTGGTCCAACTCTTGATAAATAATTTCCTGCAAATATAATAGAATACGAATCACTTAATTGATGTTTAGTAATTCTAAAGAATGAAATCATTTCTATATTAATAAATGAAGAGAATGCAAAGAATATCATTAATGATAAGATGATTAATGTTTCTACACCAACCCAACCACTTAAATCATTATTAAGTAAACTTGATGTAATATTAATAGTAGGATTAATAGTTTTTAATTTTCCTATCATTGTTAATTCAGGTTGAATAATAAAAATCCAAAATATAAGAATAAGTAATGT